CCTCGACATCTACGCGGAAGTCTTTACATCGTCACCGGAAATACGTTCCCTGTTTCCCACGCTTGTCGACTGGGGCGACGACATCAAGACCTGTCAGAAATTCAGGAACCAAGGGCTGAAGTTCGTGCACGTCATTTCGCTATCTCTTACAACTCTGCATGACAAGGAGCACCTGGACACCCTCCTGAAAGAGATCGGTACTCGACACGTAGAGTTCATGCCCGGAGGGATCAAGATGGAATACTGGGACATCTTCGAGAAGGCCATGGTGAAATGCATCCTGCAACAGATTAGATGGACCGATGACTTCGATGAAGCCATACAGTCGAAAGCAGCAATCGCTTGGAGAATTCTCTGTGCGTATATTGTGCAAAAGATCAAGATCGGCTTCACGGAAGCGCTCGAGCTTTCTCAGCAACCAGAGGTGGTTGTAACCGAATCATGACAAAGCCGGTGTACACACTACGCCACTTCTACCATTTTTTTCTATCTCTCTCTCTATCTCTGTAATATGCTGCTTGAACATCCTGCTGTTTCAAAATATGATTTTATAAGCGAATAAGCAAGAATAATTCCGTATTTGCCGAGTGACTGTGTCTGTGCTTATGCTGTCTTGTTATATCGTTCATTTTCCTTTGGCAAAAACTTGATTCAAAGTACACATCATATTACTGAATACCATGAAATTTGAAACCATGACCATAAATCATTATGGCAACACAATTAGGGAAATTAAACATGGACGGCTTGCAGCAAATCTTCTTTTTTCTTGTTTGCCGCGTATTCGTTGATTGCTTGGACAGATAATCAACGCGTACGGCTGTATGATGATGACGAACTGATGACAGGTCAGTACGAATGTTTTGCCCGAACCTCCTCCTCTCCGAGAAAAAAGGAGAGTGAGTTTCAGGACCCATTCGTATGTCCTGTAGTGGTTCATAATCTCAGCTTCAGAAGTCTAGCTTTTGGTCCACGCTGCCGCTTAAACACCTTTGCGTCAAGGGCGACAAGTTTCATCCAATTCACGTTGTCAGGGACGATGCAAATGTG